TAGCGGTGCTTGCAGTCGCTCCTTGCATTTTAAACTTAACTGATGGATCATTAGGCTTTTGGTGTTCTTACAAATCTTGCCACAAAAGTATTCTTTACTGTCATTGTTTGTCAGTAACCCTATGTCTGTCCGGCTGGACAGCCTCCCTAGCCTGGGGGTATAACTTTATTTGATCCATAGCTTACTTTTTGGTCCTTCTTCACAGCGGAAGAGCCAGTTAGGGATGCTAACCCCTGCCGCTCGGGTTCCTAGCTGCCATCAGTCTCTTCAGATGTGACAGACCTCTTCTTGGTTGTTAACCAGTCTGTTCCTGGTAGTCACTAGTTTCTCCAGCTTGGCAGTTGTTATGAAACATCTTCTGATACTAGGCTAGGATAGATCATCAGTGATGTTCCTGAAACCAGCTGAAGTTGATCAGGCCTCAACTTGTACCCTAGCAGCACTCTCCCACATATCCGCTCTCTTGATCCATAAGAACTTTAATTGTTAACTTAAAGACAAAGTGCAACGGTTAACCTCACATTTCCAATCAGCCTTTCATGTTACCAAATGCCCACTACTTTAACTTATTATTTAAAATTATAAAATCATATATTTTTATTATTATTGGTTATTTCCTATTATTACCTTTTGTTTTTTCTAATGTGCAGTGAAGTATTATTGTTTCATTGATTTTTTTTTCAATACAAATAAACAGAAATGGAATGAAACTGATGGAACTGTAGACTCTTCCCTGGAGGCTAATGATGCACAATGATCATTTTGCTGTCAATGATTAAATAATTAGCCTAAAGAGCCTATTGTTAATATGATGATCAATATTGCTGTGGCATATTGATTTATAAGCTGTGTAGGCCTAATTTTACAGCTAGGGAAGAATAAGAGAAAGGGCCATTAAAAGCTAGTCATGTTTATAGACTGAGGAATTTGGTAACTAGGGACCTGTTCACTTTCAACCATTTTGTCACTATTTTGGGAATGAAGACACATATGTTTTCTTGTGATTTATTATTATTATTTCAACATATATATTTAATTGGGCTACTAATGCGTACTAGTATTTTTTTTGTCAAAATGAAAATAAAAGAGCATAAGCCACCTATTTATGTTGCATATTTATATATCGACTGGCAAATGTACTCATTTTTTTATTGATTTTTTAACTGTAAACGTGGAGGCTCAGAGAAAAGACACATCCTCAATTCAGTGCCAGAATGACTCAGTTCAAAGGAGGAAGCTGTTCAAAGACCTGGCAGTGACTGTCTTTACCCTGCGCACTTTACTCATCCTGAACAACCACACAAAGATACTGCTGGGATATCTCTACAGTTTAAAAAATAAAAAATTAAATATAGCTGTTAAAGGGACTTTTAATAACCAACGGTAGAGGGCAACAATACGCCATTGACGTGTTTCGTCTGCCAAATCCTACAAAGAAGAAACGGCGGCGGAAGAGGCGGAAGCAGAAGTGAAGTGAAATGTTTGGAAGCAGAAGATTCATCCATGACTTCACAGGTCAGTTCACACTCACATGTCGGTCCTGCATCGTTGTTCTCAGCAGCGTGCACGTGAGGAGAAATAGAAGAGAAGAGATGAGAAATGTTTACAATGTGAGTTGTCCATATTGAGATGTGATGGAGTGGATCTGTGTGTGTCGTGGCTTCTCAGTCAGATGTTGTCTGAGAACAGAAACGCGTCCTGGCGGTCAGTCCCTCGTGAGAAGCACGGGGACGCAAATGATATTTAGACTGAGAAAAACAAAGCCAGCTCAGTGTCAGTGTGCTACAGTGAATTGATTCAGACGTGATCACATACTGGGTCTGTGGTGAATATGAGTTAGTGTTTGTTTGCACTGGGTCAGATGATCAGATTGTGTAAACAACAGATCTGAGAACAGCCCTGCACTGTGTCACGATCAATAATTACACATTACATCCATTGATGTTTCATTGTTTAAGAATTATTGAGAAAAACAGAAATGTCTGACTGATTACAATGTAATACAAACTCCATGGTAAGGAAGCAGTCCATCCTCCATTCTTTGATTTAGTTCATATTTTATATTGATGCCAGACTCAATCGTCCTGTTCATGGGTGATTTCTGTGTAATGTGATAGTTCACAAGTCTCTGCTTGAAGTTTTGACATTGGATTCAAATAAAAGTCACTTTCTTCCTTACAAGCTGTTCTTTGATCTTTTTGATCATGTGTCTGGGATCATTTTATTCCTGCCTAGCTTCCTGAGACTGGAGCTCATCTTTTCATTCAATGCTTGTGTTCCTCTACAGCTCCATATCAGCACACTTACATCTCTATGTTTCTAAGTGAATCCCCAAGCACAATGTGGGTGAAAAAGTCATTGATGTAGTCCGCAGCAAAACCATTTAAAAAGACATTTTAAATCAATCCAGTGTAAATAGAGGAGTGATGTAGGAGTCCTGTTTGGTCAAAGTTCTGATTGATTATCTCACTCACTGAAGTCTGAATTTTACTGATCCAGATGGAGTACTTGAATTTAGTTTGTAAATCTGAAGCTAGTTCAAATCTAACTTTTGAAAACAGGGCTGATGGTCTCTATAGACAGGTTTTCATCTGTTTACCAGATTAAAGTTGTGCTGCTCTTTTATTTTTCAATTTGACAAAATAAATAGAAACAACAATGTTTTCCTCTTCAGGTTTTTGTGTTCTACTTCGCCAAAAGTGTGGAGCTAACTGGAGTGAAGCAGGAGGAGGTCACTGCAGTGCCAACACCAATCACTAGCCGGGACCTTTGGAACCTGTTGGTACAGCGACACCCGAGGTATGAAGCACATCAATGACTACAGATGTCCCCAATGTCTAGACTCTGTCTGTTGAACTATTTACCCTGGAGTCTGTATTATCAAGTTCAGGATACTCAGGAAATGTTT